TAAGTTGGGTGCTCGGCAGCGGGCACGATGCGCGCCGGATGCCGAGTTTGTTCTGTTTAATTGGATTAGTGTAACATTCACTAAACTATTAAATGTTTGCTCGCTAAAGTTTTATTCATATTGCAACGCTGATAATATTATCGCTATCGAAGCGATAGTTGTTGTGAGGCGATCACTTAAGAAATTTTAAGAAAAGTAAACATGCAAGCTCTTAAGCTCAAAATGTTTTGATAAAATCCACACATTTAATAGTTATGAACTAAAACGTGATAACTTAATCAGTAGTTTGGCACAAAAAACAATACAAATTTTTTCGACCAAAATCTTTGACCTTGTTTGTGCCTATCGATCTTCTGAAAAGTTTGAAACTGACAAACACGGGTCTGACGTATGGTCAACAAATTAATGAAAATACAGCTTATTTTCAAATCTATTTAGAAATAATAGCCTTTGCAAGCTTTGTCATATTAAAGGGGTTTTATGAAATCACTAAATATCCAATATGTTCATGATCTGTTCAGGTATGATGTGAAAAGCGATGGAAAACCTCTCCTACAGAAAAGGGAGGCTTTTTTAAATTTAACAATTTTAATATAATATTTGATTTAATCGAATGTGATAAGTTCCGGATAAATCCGCGGTAGATTCTACAAGTAGACACGATCGATGCTCTGCAGATAAATTTAGAATGGCGTGGGTACTGGACAGCCACTGGACATCGCCGTCTATTGCAACCTTTGATATATTAATTCTTCTGTTTTTCAATAATAACATTTAGACTTTACCCACGCAAATATGAATTCGCCGTTTTTTCTTTTTATTAAAACGGAGAACATTTAATGGTATTTTATAATACTGTGTTAGAACAACGTTTAATTACATTGCATGAATTTAATTTTGTGCTGACCCTACAAAATCCTCTTAGATGTAATTAATTTAGTCAGGTTATGTGTAAATTTCGTTTTGTCGAGATATTTTTATAATAAAAATGAACCAAACATTTGTATTATATAAAGCTTATATAAAGATTCAGATTCTAAATTCGAATTAAAGTCCGTTAAATTATTATTGATTTGAAAGTTTTATTATAGTAAGCTTTTCGAAATAAAAATCGGGGTCAATTAAACTTTTCCATTACAACACGTCTAAGGAAACGACTTTATGATATAAATTATTAAACCAAAGTGGACGTGGACTAAAACGTTTATCTGTAATTTGTGTAATTAAAATATCGAAACCCACAAAATGTCACGTGAAAACGTAATTACTTAAATAAATCAAAATGCTTCTTTATCTTTCTTTTCAACCGTTTGTTAGTTTTTTGAGCCACAAAATATTGTTATATTTGCTGCAATCGAATGTCTTAGCGTCTTTTGTTTCTCGATTTTATTTTCATTGTAAAGCATTTTGTTTTATCTCTGCGTAGAACTTCTACATAGTCGAGGATAATAAAAGGTCCTAAACACCTTCTGCTTTGTTTTTAGGTTTACAAAAGGCATTACTGCTTGTCTTTACATTTATACGTGCTGTTATTAAAAATAAACAAGAAAACCTTCAATTAGATTAGAAAAATACTCACGTATTTATTATCTTGAGTATGTAATTGACAGCCAGCCCGTGTCCCTAAGTAGTGTGTCTATTACTCATCCAGACATCTCTCAACCGTCGTAATATTTTGTGTCTAAACCGAAGATTGTCATGTATTGTATAACGACAAAACTTTGTGTGAAACTCTTTTTAAAGAATACAATTTCAGCTGCAAAGAATCCGTCGCAGAGCAGCAGTGGCAGTGCAATGCACTCAGAAGTGTTGTTTTGCAAAACTTGACTTAAATGCAAGAGAATTTAAGTTGTCAAGTCGACAGGGACCTGATATTGTCAAAAGTTTTGCCATCTCCGCTGCAAATTACTTTGTAACAAAGTCTATTTATTTTATTATTATTATTATATAGTAAAAAGGAATACATTTTTACAAACTTTATATTCCAGGTTGTAAGATGTTGAACAGATTTAAAATATAATACCTATTCCATACGATGTAACATAATTTTGCTCAGGGTAAGTATACAAATGAAATATGAAACACAATAAGAAATTATTTATGTTATTCTTACAGCGACTTGTATGTCGATAACAATTCACTAAATTGATGATATCAAACGGTCGCGACAAAATTGCGGGGCGTTTTAATAAAACGGGTGATGTTAGAGCGCGCGCCAAATGCGTACTCTTTGCCTTTGTTATTGCTGGGCTGGCGGGGAGCCAACGCGACGAGCACGTAACGACAACGTTTGCGTTACCACGATAGAAAATCAACGGCACTTAACTTTCACACGCACTATTACCGCGTATTAATAACAATAAAGCTTCTAGCTTAGCTTTAGGTATTCCAATATATTTTCTATTATAACTTTTACCTATACTTATTCATACAACTTAAATTAAGATAAGTAATTCTAAGACAAGAAATATAAGTTTATCATATACAGAACTTATTAAATTGTTCGAAGTGCACGCGTCTGAGGCAATCTAACTCCGCTGAAGTTGTTTGTCTGCAAACGTGTGTGCTGTTTCTATATCGGGACAAACACTATTGTAAAATTATTATGAATAAAGAGTATATTTTAAATTATTTCTGATTGAATTGCGAGTCCACTTATTTGTGTTAAAATATACTTAAATAATCTTATCTGCCTGACACAAAAAAAGACTTCTTTATGAATCAAGAACATGGACGTAAACCTACGGCTTAGGACTTAGGCAGCTAACACAAATTAAACTTTTTCGTTTTAAAAAAAAAAGGAAGTTATCACTCCTTAAAGTGAAATTTGAAAGTACAAAGTAACAAGTCTTCGTGTCGACTTCCCGGAGAGTGGGGACCGACGCACTTTGCAGTGTCGTTTTGCCCGACTCGGTCACGGCGCCGCTGCCGCTCTCCCTTCCGACACAGCCACTCGCTCTCATCGAGGGAAATGAAATGCTTTATGCAAACACAAATGGAACTTTGAATATTTAATACAAATCCTTGTTTGTTCTATGAACGGTCAACTTGGAAGTCGGAGTGCGTCCATCTTAACTCCCATGTGAAAACTTTCACATGAACCAGTTTCAAATTAAGTAAACAGTACCGATGTAGAGTATAACATTAATACCTTCGTGTAATGAATAAGAATTAGTCGTCTAAATCACATAAAACAAACAAGCAAAAAAATTATATATGTAGAACTGAAAAAGAAATCGTGATGTAACACTTTCTCATGTTATAAATTTACCTGAAATAATTTCTCGTAACTTGAAGAGAAGCGGCAATATTGAAATAGCGCAAGTTAGCTGCTGGCCTGCCCACTATTGAGCAATAAATAACCCGAGTACACAATAAGCGTTGCTCCGAGCACGGCGCTCTACTAAGCCGCTGGAGCCTTGCGGGCTATAAACTGTTCGCGGTTAAATGTTAAACGACACACTCAACGACCCCCTCCTTTAATATTCAACAAACTTAAATCCAAAATACTTACACCCTTTATTTATACCACTACTTTGTTTTAACTTGAATAATATCAAAATTATATTAACTTGTATTAAATGTAAATTATAAACGTCTTACATAGAACAAAAACTTCTTGTTAGCGTAGCGGTATAAGATAAATGTCACTACGTAGTATATTATACAAGAAACTCTGAATCGTGATTGCGATTGCAATCTGAATAATATTACAGATGTCGAACAGTTGTCACCTTTGTTCAGAAGTTACCTTTGTAGGAAGGAAGTATTCTAAACAGTAATACATATTTCATGCGGCTTCAGCACAGACCGCGACAGTAGTTCCTGCAATGAGACACGGATAACTGCGCTCAATCGGCCGCTGCAGCTCTCAAATCTATTTTAATGTTAGTCCACAAAGATACGACTTGTGAACACATATTGCATATTTTCATATAAAAATAACATATTATTTACTTCACTTGCAACTTGTTAATAAGAATTCGTTAAGACAGTGGCAAATCAATAGAAGAAAACATTTCATATAGCACGAAAGAAAAGTTGATCCACGAGACAGACAGTGTATTTCCACACATTATTCAGGATGATGCGGAGTGCGGTGAGCGACGACTCACATCTATGAATAATAACCGCCGCGCAACCGCGCTCTCTGACTACATCACATTTTCATAAACACATATCCAAAAATCTCTCAGTAACAAAGAATGTTTCGACAGTCCACCTGATACCTTATAAATAAGTCTGATAATAAAAAAACCTCGGCGTGAGATGCCGAAAATATATATAAATTTTGAATAAAAGTAATGGAAGAAAAACAAAAGTCGCTCAACTGATCCGATATCCTAGCGAGTTTTATATTGATCCGGTGGGCATAAGTGAAACTAAATTATGAAAGCTCAATAGCGCCCTTATGTCAATTAAAAAAAAAGTGTCACAAGGTCACACTAAAAACTACAATTAATTCGAGACAATTGTCAACAATTTACTTAGTGACGAGATTAATACATATTATGAAAAGAAAACTATCTAGATAATGATTTATATTATCTTGAGTTATTTAACAATTTAATACATAAGGTTCGTCGTTCGCCTGATGAGGAGTTATGTAGATCGGGCCGAGTGGCCACTTACTATATCAACTCCACTCCACTCAACTTCGCTACACTTGATGGCTACGTCAAGATATCAACATATTAAATATTCTATTTAATAAATACATTTTATTGAAATTATTAGGTAAAAGTGGTTGTTAAAAATTGAGCATAATCAAATTAATTTCTCTGTATGAATTGCTCATATAATCAACGTCATTTCAGATCAGGACCTTCGTTGAAATGAACGCACTCTTATACATTGCTATAAGGTAACAATCTTAAAGTAAAATGTTAGACAATGAAGTACTGACCTGAGTCCGGGCACGTCGTCGAGCGGCGTGCCGTCGGGTAGTTGCCAGGTGATGGTGGGCGGAGGCGCGCCGTGCGCCGCGCACGATACGCGCGCGCCCGTGCTGTTGGCGAAGGCCAGGCGCGCCGGCGGCTCCAGCAGGAACACCGGCCCGTGCTCCTGGCCCTCTCCTCCTGTATACACACTATATGTCACATTGTGCACAAAGATGTCTCAAAAAATTGAAGTTTAAAAAAATTGTTTTAGTTGCTTTTAATTTTTTGTAGCTAAAACTTGTAATAACATTAATGTCATTGTAACGACTTGTAATGACGATTGCAATTTTTAACACGATATATTATAGAGAATTTGAATGAAATAATAGGAACTTAAAAATTTTATCTAGTGAGAATTAACTAGTTTCTTAACAGTCAGACGTAAATTGTCAGAAACTTTGTTGTTTTAATCATGTTAAGTTACGATGTTGTGCGCTTTAATGGAGCCTGCAACAGACACCAAGTCACATTACTGTAACAATTATTAGTTTATTTCACTAATAACAATTTATTTGGTAATGTTTCAAAAACAAAAGTTGGTCGGCTTCCACATTATGATAAATTTTGTTGATGTCAAGACGACTTTATGAAATAGTTAGTATTTATGCAAGTAGGGTAAACCTCTCTTCGTCTTATAAACTATGTATATTTAAAACAGAATAATCTTGCTCTATCGTTTATGACGATGTTGTTTATTTTTTTCATTAAAAAGAAAGCTTTTCTCGGAACATAAGTCCGCAAGTTACTGGCTAAGTATACATTGTACCTTTAATTTTCTTTGTACAAAGTTAAAAGCACCTCAAAACACTTTCAAACAAAGAAGTACACAACTTTTTACAATTTACCCGAGCGGGGGCGCCTCGCCTCGTAAATTACAAAGAGATAACGGACGTTTTTATTTACCGCGCGATGTACAATTTTAACATAAACCGTTTTTACCTATCATAAGCTTCAACTAAACTAAATCAGTAATATTACAATATATACGGAGTTAGTAAATTTAGAACACTAGTAGATACATAGTTACTACAACTTACTTGTAGCAATGAAAATCGTAGCGAGCTTTTTATGCCAGTGCGTAAGTTATTTGCGGCACACAAAATTCACGAAGCATTTATTGTATTATAAAGACAATAGATATGTAATCTGTACTGATCCGTAAATCACTTGTTTTCCAGATAAATTAATGAACTTTGAGAGACACATGAATCATAGATAATATAGTATTTATCATATTTATTGGCGCGTTACCAAAGTTATTTTTTAAAGATGCAATAATTAATTTGAAAGCAGGACTTATTGAAATTGGATCAGATTTAGTTCAGGTTCAGCTTTCGGTTATTTTGAATTAATTTGAAATGCTAATTAAAATGTGATATTGTAAAATCCAGTTATACTGAGTAAGAGTTACAAAAGAACAGAAAGAACAATGTGAAATGGGAACTTATAAAACATAAATAAAAATGTAACAAAACGAAAGGACATTTGCATACGAGATAAATATAAAATGATATTCAGAAACAAAAATATGAAATGAATAACGGCTTAATGTAAACAATAAACAATAAAGGTGCTACGAATGCGAGAAGACACGATTTATAGCAATTTATAATTGTTACGTGATTTTCGCAAAACACAATTAAATATTTTAATTTTAATACTTGGAATTTATTTTCTCCATAATAATCACACATAATTATATATAGTCTTTTCATAAACAACCAGGAAACATTAAACATGTAAAAATTTGTGAACATATTTTACGTTGGAAGAACTTTTTAGTTTCGTTATAAAGTACCAACTAATATGGATGATCACTTCTATATCTTAGTAAGTCAATATAGTCAAAGTATATCATAAGATTAATGACATTTTTCAGTTGATAGATAACAAAGGGACTTTGTTGCTTTGTGCTGCAACACAATTGTAGTGCGTACAAAATGCGAGTAGATTTAGCTAACAGAAGCGAGCAAATTGATTTAATGCGGTTTGCGTTTCAGAGAGAGACGCCGTAATACATGCACATATTGTATTACAGCTGCGATCTGCGATCTACTTCTGCCACACATGCCGCCACATTACTGAATATTACCACCACGGTAGGACTAATAGGACCACACGGACATTAGTTGGAAATCCGCTGAATTTTGTCGTGAATCTTTTACTTAACTTACTAGGAATGCTTACATGGAATAAGAGGAAACTTTTAGCACTGTCCCAAAAACTCTTCCAGTTAAAAAAGATTTGATCATATTTTCTTGACAAATCCGATAGCAAGGTAAAGATTTTGTGAGAGCAACCGTTCGGTAGCGCGGAGGAGATTGATCCGGTTCGGTCTGGTTCACACCGGTGACGCGCGCCGCTCACCGCGCCGCGACCCGCTGGATAAGGTGCCGCTGTCTAAATGAAAGAGCTCATCCTACTATCGTAATGCAATCGTAAATTATTTATTTGCTCGTTAACTTTTTTTTGACCTCATATCAAAACAAAATTTTATCTCTTTTTATATGTAGATCAACTTTGCTTACGTGGCTTTTATATATTTTTCTTTCTTAACTAAAATATATTATTATGTAATATATAGATATAAGTAAGATATCAATCATAACTGACATAATATATGATTAACATAATGATGCATACCGATATCGAGGTCGTGTGTTGTTAATGATGAATTCACCACAAATGAATGAGCACTGGACTAGAATCCTCGTCGGTAATTAATTTTACTTGATATCAGAGCCTCACTCTATCGGCCATAGTGTACCTGACGAGCTAATGACGTCATCATAATTAATGCGACTGAATCCGATATGTTGAACCATTGTCCGACATTTGATTCGCCGATTAGATAATTACAGTCAGCTTCATAAATTATACATTTTAATCAAATACAATGAATATAAAAAAATGTTATAAACCTAAGTATGGTGCTATTATATCATAGGAAACTTTAGAGAGCTGCAATTACTAAAAATAAAAATTACCTAACATTGAATACACAGTAAATTTATTTATTTATTATTCGCTAACATTTTTAGCTTTTGACATTAACTCCTTTATCCAAAATGTACGTTCCCCGGCTAATGCACATTAATGTTTCCGCAGCTTTCGCATCCATTGTCTGGCGGCTCGAACGCGCGCTATAAAAAACGAAACTGTATCGCTCCGCGCCGCCGCCATCGCCGCTGCGGTTAACATCATAAAAGCTTTGATAATATAATGCGATGACATAAAATGTAAATAATATTTCATTATTTATACCTATTAAAAGTAGTTTTAAACAAAATTACAAGACTTCATTTGATGGGTGAAGTGAGAGATCCAAAGAATTTGACCGATTGTAAAATTTAAAAAATTAAAAAAGTATACTATCAGAGTTGGAATGAATTTTTGTTCCGAAGATGATATTGAATCTAAAATATCGGTAGTAAAAAAGTGATAATGAGAGCTTCGACAGTCATTAAACTCTTCGTGACTTGATAAATTAAATGTTAATGCTTCATTATCAGGTGAAGCCGCAACACAACGGGCGGGCTCGTTAGCATCGCCCGCAGAGGCCTAAATGTCAGCGAAACTAAATAAAACCTATTATACACCGACAAAGTTAGCTGACCCGGTGGGTCAAGGGAATAAGTCAAACTAAATTATGATAGCACACTAGCGCCCCTCAGTCAAAGCCAAAAACAGTGTCACAAGATCCACGACCAACTATAGCTGTCAAGTTTTTTTAGCAGCGCTTCTCGCCTTACCAGAAAAGCTTATTACAATATAAATAAGCACTCTCAGAGCTTTTGGTGTTTTATTGCCCTTGAGTAGAATCGATCTGTTATATCAAGTGCGTGCACAGTGTACCGAAAAATAAAAATCATCTTACGATTTTAAACCATTTCATACTTCTACATACAAATATTCTAAATTGAAGCGACGTAACCTCCAGAGCTTATTTTAATTTTAACTTAGCTTATCGAGTGGACTTCTTATAAACAAAAGAAGGAGAGCTTTAATATTTTCCGACATTTGATGTGGAGCTGGCGGGGAGCGACGTCGCGTCCTGTGTTAGATTTGCATATAAACAAGGAGCACGGATGGCAACTTTGTGTCAGTCTTTTGGTTAATAAAATGTATATTAGTGGTGTAGGTATTGTTTTATAAAGCGTCTTACGTTGTGTTATATATTGTCAAAGTATTTCGTATACATAATAATCCAACATAAGAGCAACGAATGAAAAATGAAACTAAGAATATAATGTTAATTCGTCGTAAACCATATCCTAGCACAAGCCTAGAGCTTACTTGGAATGGTTAAAGAAATATTAGTAAATTTACAAAAAAAACTGTTAATATATATTTATAAAAAAAATTGAAGTATTGAGTACATACAGCTTCTAATTTACATTATTTAACTAAATAATCATAACTAAATAATTTTAATATAAACATCAGAGTAACCAGAGTTGTGTATATTTTTTTTATTAAGTTAGCTCTCCAAATATTGTGACATCAAAAGAGCTGTTGCGGTTTTCAGCAAATTTCGCATCAATTAACATGCAAATATTCGTCGGCCAATAGTTAATTGCATCACTGAGAACATTGCTAACATACTATCGATCAAGTTTTGTTTCAACAAAAATACATTTACTATATCCGTATTGAAATATAATCTGTTTATTTAACAATTTATACGCAATGTATATGCAATACAAAATGTTTGTATGAAGTATTACACGTATCAGTATAAAATAACACGAACGAGATACTCCGTCCGAGGCAAGTCCGCACCTCAGATAACTACAATTTGCATTTTAATTGGCAGAGGATCAAATAAAAAAAACTGCCCTGGCTTTTCCTCTCATATATATTTTTCCATTTAAACGCATGTTCACTTTATTTTCAATGTTTAAATGTTGTCAATACACACCTTCCTATCAGCTTTAAATAAATAGAGGCATTTGCCTTTTTATCAGATATTATGTTACGATATGATAGTATATTTTAATATTATTAACTTATTTAAATTTGCCGCTACCGTCTTTAAAACAGTAAAACAGAAAATAAACAAACAGTGAGGTAATTCTCTATGGATTTTTCTCCCTTCTAACGCACTTTACTCAAACACCCAAGAGAAAATAAACAAGATGAAATAGGAAAAGTGTTAAATCCGGGCTTTCGTTATTATTCTTCAGTAGGAAATATTCAGAAAAGCTGAATAAAGCACACGGTCGTGTTTTGACACGAAATTGAATAGAGGTTTAAGAGACGCTGTCTGTGAGATTTTCTCGCAAACCTTTGATCTCTATTCACGAATTAATTTAAACATTTTTAACTTAATAGAATTTAAAGAAAACAGCGAAATGTTTCAAGAAAAATGGTACAAATTAATCATATTTTGTATGAAATGGTGACGTTTTACTTAAATTATTAATTATATGTTTTGTTAAAAAGAGTAAAATATTAAATAACAACAATACTCGCTCGTGTAA